ATCCCACACTCACATTCTATTCTAAGTGATTGTTATTGCCCAATTGGTCACCCTGTTTCAGCCCTTAGTTTTCCTGCTATAATCTATTCTCCACATTTAAAACACATCAGGTCATGTCATCCCTTGGCTTAGCAACTGACAGCGGTTTACTGTGTCTTTCTGAATAAAAGCTGGAGTCCTTACAATGGCTTATCAGATCTGGGCCCTTGCCACTCCACAGATTCATGCCCTATTACCCTCCTCTTTCAGTGTGCTGCAGTTGCACTGGCCTCCTGGCACACCAGAGGCTTATTTCCACCTCAGAAACTTTCTGTCTCTCTGCTAGAATGCTTTCTCCAGCATATCTACATAGTTCACTCTTTCACTTCATTCAGAATTTTGCTCAAATATCACCTCACTGATGTATTTCTTGCTTTCTTTTTCTTAGCATTTATCATCATTTCCTATACCATATATTTCACATGTGTAGTGTATTGTTTATATTCTGCCACTAGAAATTTCAACCTAGGAGACAGAGAAGAGTTCTTGCCTGTTATATGCACTGCTTGATTTCCAGTGCTGATAAGGTTACTGGGCACATACTCAACTATTAACTCTTGGATGTTTTTGTTAATTACTATGTGATGTTTTTCCAGTCGAAGACAGAAACTGTTTTTGCACTGCTGGTACCAAGGATGGAGATTTCTACCGGATAATTAAGGCAAAGCAAGCAAACAAACAAAATAAATAAATAAAATGAGAAAATTATAATTCAAAATTGAAATAAATAGAGGGCTTGGTGCAAATACTTTGTAAGCTTTAAAGAACACATAGACCACCTGCCTTTCAAAACAAAAAAGAGGAAGAAATAAAGGAAGAAAGGAAGGAAGGAAAGAAAGAAGGAAGGAATGAAGAACGAAAGAAGGACACCAGGAGCGTGTGTGTGTGTTTTAATTTGCATCTACCTATCAATTTTTTTAATCAGTTCTCAACCTGACTATGCAGGTAACAGCATATTCCAAAGAACAACTCAAAAAATTCACATCAATAACTATATGTATTTATATTTCTCATTATATTTCTACTGCAGACTCTCTAGGGAGTACATGCCACCTCTGAGATTTGGAGGACAAAAGAAACTGCTGATAAAAATGAAAATATATTTCTTAACTAGGAAAATGTCTTGCTTTTAAAGCAGTAAAAAAATGAATGTCAGTAATTCTTAATACTTCCTGCTAAAGAAGAGAATAATGCTAACAAACATTACTATTTAAAAGATGAGAACTTGGGGTTGAAAAATGAGAAAAACAAGTAAATCTAAGTTCTGGTTACATTTATAGAACATGAAGGCAGTTGTTCTTAGGCTGTTTATTTAAGATGTACTCTACTCCCAAATTCTCATGAAAACCACAGACCTCTCTTTGGAGCTATGTAATTTCTTACTGATTCATGGATTACACTCCCAAGCTTTCCTCTGCCCCCATTCCATGACTAGACTTAAGGAGTTCTGCAATTCACATGCACTATGATGGGTGTAATCAAAAAGACAGGAAATAGCAAGTGTTCTGAGGTTGTGATGACAGTGAAATCCTCATATATTGCTGATGGAAATATAAAATGGTGCAGCCACTTTGAAAAACAGTTCGACAGTTCCTCCTTTAACATAGAGTTATCACATTGTCTACTTGTTTTTTTCTTCTCTCCATATAATTTTTTAATCATAATCTCCTCTGAAAACAAAAGGACCCCAAAGCCAATTATGTTTGTATTCGACCTTAATAGAGCAGTACAAAATAATTACCATACAGCCATTTGAACTCGGTCTCAAACAAAAAGAAAAAGGAAAAAAAACTGTTTTACTCTCTATCATCCCTGAAATACAGTACAATAAATCAATAAATATAAACCAAGTGATATCCTGTGACTCCTAAAACCAAATAATGACATCAGTGCTGCAACAGCAGTATCTCAGGGATTGAGAGCATGAGCTTCTGAGTCAAGAAGATCTAGCTTTCAATGCAGGACTCTCTCAATCATTATTGTATGACCTTGTGAAAGTCATTTAATCCTCTCTGGGCCTCATTTTCTCCACTTTAAGTTGAGAATAGCAATAATTATATCATAGGATTGTGGTGAATATTAAATTAAAATGTACGTAAAATGCTCTGCACAGTGATGGCCACATAACTAGTGCCTAATAAATGTAGATATTCTTAATGATAAATCATTGTTGGGGTTGAAGAAACATTGAATGTATGTCAGAAGAGCAGCATTAATGCCATTGGTGCTAGTTGTGTGACCTTAGGCCAGTCATTACATCTCTCTAGATCTCAGCTAATTCATCTTCATCTCTAAGGTCCCTTCTGGTAATATTATATCATAGTAGATGTTTAATATGCATATGTAATACAGGCCTTACTTGTCTTCTGTGGTATAAAACTTAAAACTCTCTTGTTAAGTGAAGGTATGTTTTATGCCCAAGATAGGTCAATGATATTTTTCACTATAACTCATGTCAATTTCTAACTTTTGGTAGTCAAGGAGGATTTAAGAGTAATCTACAATTACAAGTAAATAAAGAAAAATAAAATATGTTGGGCCCCAATTTTTTGTTTTGGTTAAAATTCTTGAGGCACAAGCACAGTGAGTTTTAGGAGATTCACACATTATTTAAAAAATCAAAGCAACCACATTTTAATAGTTTACCTACCGATCAGCTATCATAGCTGACAGCTGACAGTCCAGATTTCACTGTGCTTTTTTTTTGTAAAAGGGAGGAAGCAAGAAGAAGTAAAAGATGGATTTAGGTAATTTATAAAGTAAACACCGAACCTCTAAATACTTAAAAGCTAAATGGATTTAGATGGTCAAAATCAACCTAGAAGAATCATTGCTTTTGTCCATGGAAGGGCCATCTTTTTGTTTTTTAAGAATCTCATGATGACTAAACAATTATCTTTTTCCAAATTTAATGTGTAAAGCATTTCAAGTGTATTTCATATCTATTTCATAGATAGCTCAGAAAATGCTCTGAACATAGAAACAACAGGGAACCAAAACAAGTCTTTAAAATTCAAATAGACTAAAGTTTAAAGTATTATTCACTCTAGAATTTCATAGAATAGTGATCCACATTAAAATGAACAGAAGTAATGCTGTGTATTAGTGATCAGAGCATTTCCCCTTCACCAATATTCTGTTTGCATTTGGTCTTATCAGATGTTTAGTCAAGAGCTGAAACATTTTTTCATAGCCAGCCCATTATAACACCAGGAAATCAGCCATTGAATAAACTGTGCTATTAGTTTTCCATCAGAGAGTCATGTTTGAATGACCATGCATTTCATAGATTTAAATACCGAAAGGCTAATTATCTCCAAGGTCCCATTAAAGGGACAGCATAGATTGCAATCAAAAACAATCCTAATATTGCTCAAAAATGATCTTTGGCCTTCAGTGCTGAAGAATACCTCAATTTCTCTACTTATTGCACACACTAAGAGTATACGATATATATATATATCTCTCTCTCTCTCTCTACCAAAGCAATTTCTTTCCTAAAACCTTAGAAAAATCAACCTGAACAGTTTCTTATGCATTTTATAAAGTAAAATTCAAATTAAAAGCTTATCTTCCTAACATCTGTTCAACGTTCAAATTATTATTTCCTTTTAAATGATTGTCTCACAAAATGCCCTGATTGTGAATAAACTGATAAGGTTTAGTTTCTGGACTGCTGATCTGAGAACCAGTAACTTGGTTCTTGAGGGCATCTCTCTTTATAAATGCTTTCTTCTTTAAAAATGCTGTGATATATTTACATAAAGAATAAAGTTTACAGTCACACAATTTCATATTTTTCCTTCCTTCCTGTATGCCTGTGAAGGGGAGGAATATGCCGCCCCAAAATGTGCCACTTTGGCATGTGGATTATTTTGAGCTGAAGGCAATCAAGATTCAGCGACTCAGGGAAAGCTTTTTACCTCTCCTTTAACTGCCTAAAAGAATTTAGATAGGGGGCCTGTACTAGAAAGAGCTATTACCAGAGATAAGTTTTTTATCTGAAAGACTTATCAATATGGCAGGGTAAACATCTGATTACCAAACATCTGCTCTTCTTATCGTCCTGTGAATTTCCCTGTTCTCCGTTGAAGCCCCGGGGCCGTATTCCATTCCTTAGCTCAGGATGGCACAGAAGCCTCAATTGCCTGATTGACTTTGAGTCTCATATCTTTGTGGGGTTCTCATACATACGTAATCAAATTTATTTTTGTTCTGTTAATCTGTCTCATGTCAATTTAACTATTAGACCAGCCAAAGAACATAGAAGGGAAGAAGGGAAGATTTTCTACCTCTAAATTGCCTTCCTGCCTTCCTTCCCTTCTTGTAAAAAGAACTATAAAGCTTGTTTCCGGGATTCTTTTTCTCACAGAAACCTTAAACACAGGGATGGATTTTAACATATTTAGAAACAAGTTGTAACATGTTACCTGCAGAAAAATTACATTTACATTGGGATTAACATATTTATAATGGGTAAGAAAGTAAGATAGTCACAGCGTGTGTTGAACATTTGGGTACAGAGGCATGATATTCCAAGTATCCTGGACCATTCATTTTCTTATATGACTTTGATTGAGTGTCATTTCTGAATGACTTGCTACTCAAATATTAGCTGGCCCAATATATTAATGAAATGTTTTTATACACACCTCTATGAAGAAATTAGAGTTTTATATATTACACCCAACTCACCTTTCAGTGATGATCAAAATTCTTATATGCCAAGTTGCACCTCCTTGTTAGTCTGTGTTCCTTTTTGTACGACAGAGCGTTGGCACTGCCAAATTTCTTTTAAGCACATACCCTTTCACGTGTCTTTCCATTCCCACCCTCCATGCCTTCTGAAATTCCTTTAGTTCAACAGGGTACATCATCATTTTTTATCAGATGCCCATACATGGTATTACCAAAAGAGACAATTCAACAACTTAACACATTTATAAAAACGCAGAAAGTACCTGGACATAGGCTCTGCAAGAGCGCTCTCTTTTCTGAAGCTGAATCCATTAAGACAGCAGATTAAACACAGAATAGAAAAAACAAGTTAGTGACAGGAGAAAACAAGAAAAATAAAAGAACACATCTACACAAACACCTTATTTTGTTGTGCACTACTTTCTAGAAGAGAATAAGCTAAGCAGCAGCAAAATGGAAGCAATGACTTGAAAAATAGTAACCAACACCCTTTCAGAACAACCCAGGTGAAAACTGGATGGTACAAAGCTGTTAACGATGGAAAGAAATCTTGTAATAAATTTAGTAGAAATTAGTAAAAATCAATATATTTCATTCTTTTGACATGAATCATTTCACATGAGGTTAGTTATTAATTCATGGGCCACAAATGAACACATATGAAGTTAAGTAAATTATGTCAAAAATCGGAACCCATTTTTCAGATAGTATGTTGTCTGTGGTTTACAGATTATATACATGGTTAATATGCACCACAAACCATTTGTTCACACACATAAAAATTTCTGTTTGTTCAGAAAATAGAAATGCTCATTCGTCGTGACTATTTGATTCTAAGGGAGAAATACTAAGAGATAAGTAACTTTTAATTAAAAGAACGTGATCAAGCTCCTAGTTTATCACTGTTTTTATTTCTTGAAGAATTTCTGTTGACAGTTTTGACCAAAAAATTTATACATTTTAGAAATGTCCGTGAGATAAGAAGCCATTTTTGTTTGTTCATTTGGTTGCATACAAAGTGATGTTTTTCTGGGCAAAAGATTAACAGCAACTTATATTCAGTTCCAAACATTTTTTCCTGTGATAAAATGAATAATTAATAAGTTTATTTGCCCTATTTAAATAAATGACCCCAAATTTTATAAAATAGATTGCCGTTTTCCTCCTCCACCCCATTTTTTTCCCTCAGTATCCTTGATTGTTGAAGGAGAAAATTACCCAGTCTTAAGAAGCAATTACTGTGATGCTTTTTGTGTGCCTAATATTCTCCCAACTTTATTTCATGCATTCTTCAATCAGCATAGAGCGGTTACTCCTCTAAAGAATTAAGTGAGGAATGAATGCAAGTAAATTGCCAGCGCTGTCATTTGGATCACTGACTCGCATCTTGGTTTTGCAGGACGCTAAACCCTCCAAAATTTCAATGTGGAGTGCAATTGATTTGTATCAAGTTGACTTTGCAAATCTGATGGGTTATAACTGCTTCAGGGAACAGTGGGAACCACAGGAAATGAGAGCAAGCCAGCAAGCATGTGAATAACCTTTGCCCTCCCATCTCCTTACCCCATCATGCAAATTAACATATGACAAACCACATTATATAAACAATTGAAAAGAGCCAAATAGGAAACAAAAGAGAGCATTAAAAAGCTTCACAAATGGAAATTTGCCCATTATGTAGTTATTTGATATTCAGAGTAGGCAAGCTGATTAGCTGTAGCCAGTTAGAATGTGACATTAATTGCCAGCTTTACCTGATATTGTCAGACATCAACACCATTTTTAAATAAAGATACAAAGTATTGCTATAACAAGTACTGTTATGGATATGTAACATTAATAGAAATTACTACCTCCAGTACATTATGATAACAATAGCTGGCAGCAATATTCATTAATAGCATCGAGTCAGTCTGGCTAATAACACATTAAAATCACAGCATGCCCAGATTACGTAGGCAGCTCTACGGATTATATTCTATCAGGAGCTTGGTTGTGATTCTATAAGTGGTATAAGTATCAAAAATAACTCCTTTATGCTCAGCATGAAAAAAACTTTAATAATAATTTATATCTAATAGATAAAACAGAATCTATTTTCTGAGGATGAAATTTCAGGAAAACCTGTATTTGCCAGATAAAAAACATCTGGCTTTTCCATGTGGAATCATCATTATTTAAAAAATTTCTTCCATCTTGATAAGAGAGACCCTCAGTCTAATAAGACAGAAAAGAATCAACATATTAAAGACCACTCTGCAGGGTCATTTTTTCATTCTAAAGCAAAATGTTCATTTAGTGAGTTCCATAGAGGACGCTAGTCTGACACTGCCAAATTCTTGATTTTTTAAGTAGTGAGACTATCATTGATACCCAAGGCCTTAAAATTCAGTTTTAATAACTCATCATTTCTACTACACAAATACCAAACAGGGAACACACGTTATCTGACGGTAGCAATTCTAATATCTTTTCACCATGGGTTAATTCACCATGTGATATTTTGTTACATAAATAAACCATATTCCTTATCAGTATTTAAAATATATTTTATATATTTATGTAAACAAAATGCTTTATAGAATATAGGTTAAATACAATACACATATAAAATGCTTATATATGTGTATTAATGTTTATAAATACATGTTGTATAAGTATAAATAAAAATACACAAAATGCACCTCCCCTGAAGATTAAAAAATGAATTATTTTCATTATTTACAATTCAAATGTGCTGAAATACACTTAAACCTTTTAAGTTTTAATGATAGTGATGCAAAATCTGAGTAATTAAAAAATCAAAAGCAAACAAAAATGAAAACTTAATTACTCGCTCCATGAGTTTTTAAATGTAACATTGATTAGGTTAAATTATTTCATTTTTAAAATATCTATAATGGATTACTAATATCTTTTCTCATTGTTGCTAAATTTCTAAATTTCTAATTATTGATATCACATTTGTTTTATTGTTAATTATCTTAACATAAGGGTTTTAAAGAAAAAAAGAAACAAGTTGCAGTTATCCGTATTAACTGTCAAATTTAGCATGCAAAACAGAGTAACTACTATGAAAAATAGAACTGTAAATTCAAAATATACATGGAGAGATTATCATTGATTGTTTCTTTAGGTTGAAAGACAAACAGGGCCATTATTATAATGAAATAGTGAAGTGAACTGAATATAACTAGTGATTCTCTTGAGAATAATCTGATTCTATAGAAAGAGAGAAGTCAATCAGGGAAGTCTCACTGATTTTACTACAACTTTAAAGATACATATACCTGAGGGCCTTACCTTGTTCAAACTGCGTGCGGCACTATCTTTTCCACCTGGGGTCAAGTTCCGGAGTTGTACATCTAGGAGGCCTACCAGCTGATCCATGGCACGGACTGAGTAGGTGATATCTCCAGCATTCAAATGATTTCTTGTCTGTTCAGCCAGCTCTCTCGCGATGTTGGCAGCTGTCTCTCCAGATTTCAACTGCCATTTTGAAAACAAAATAAAAAAGAAAGAGATCTTAAATAAGTAATTTTACTGGTCTCTTTGGACAATTGTCTTTGCATGTAAGTTATAATCATTGAGGCAAGAAATAGTTATTAAACTCCATCTTCACTTGGAATACATTCCCCAAGTTTCCCAGTTAATTCATCTTTTTCTTCAGTATCTGACTCAAAATTCATGTCCTTAGGAAGCTCCTCCTGAGGAAATGCACTTCTACAGATTTTTCTCACCTTAATTATCCATTTGGGTGGTTAAGGCTAAGGTTTGCCCTAAGATTTTCTCTATAAGTTTCTAAATTGGATGTTGATGAGTGCACACTGTGAACTCCCAACCATGTTCCAAGTTCTCAGAGGCAACTGTAAATTTTCCATGCTGCCTAATTTAGTACTTAGTTCACAATGAAGACTCATTAGCTGCAAAACTCTGCAAAAATCTTCATCCCAAATAAAACCTCTTCTTTTCAAGAGTGGTCTTCATCTTCTTACTAAGAGATTTTGCTCCCAACACATTGGGTAGCAAGCTATTCCTTAGTTTCCAGGCTTTTCCTTTTCTGAAACTACATGCTGATTTTAAGCATATTCTACAAGAATATATCAAATTGTCAACACTCCAAAGATGTTAAAAGAGATAAAAACTAATACTCCATAATCACTTGAACAAATTTAGTAGTTCTGATAATAAAAAGATAGGAATATATATTAGTTTGTAAGACAGGCATAGGAAACTTAAAAAAACAAATAAATACCTACAAGTGTAATTTCCCAAGTTGTTATGTTCTTTTAATTAATTTTTAAATTAATTTGTTAATTAAATTTAATTTTTCAAATTTTAATTTAATTTTTTAAATTTTAATTTTAAATTTAATTTTTTAATTAAATTTAATTTTTTAATTAATTTTTAACTTGAACTAAATTAAATTTCAAGTTAATAAACCAAAATAAGATTATAACACATTTACACAATTTAGATACAAGCAAGCAATGGAAAAATGATGAATGTCTCTTCTTTTGCCTCTGTATATTCCCATTTCTCAGAGATTAAAGGTTTGATATGCATATTTCTAAACTGCCCTACTACTACTTAAATATATAACAATGTCATTATTTAGGAAATGTTTTTCTCTTCTTCTGTTTCCTTTTTTAACACAGCCCAATATAAAATTTAGGATCACAAACAGAAAGGCCCTCTCTTTGTAAGGCTATCTCCTTAATGGGTATTCAGAAAACTACAAGGAGCGCGAATAAAACTTTCAGTCAAATAGGTCATTGCTTATCTACCCAGGGATACTTAATAAATGTTTGTAGCAAAACTGAATGTTAAAGAACAAATGAATAAATTGGAGTGACTAGAACATCTAAATTATTAACAATCACATCCTCAAGCATATAGAAAACTCCTAATTCAAAAAGTAAAAGAAAAACTAGTAACATAAAGTGCTGTCAAGGATTTGTGGAAATGTGTATCACCATCGTACACTACTACTGGGAGTGAATATTTGTACAGCCCCCATGTCGAGCAAATTTCTAGTGTCTGGTAAACTTTGAAATGTGAAGACTGTATAACCCAGAGATTTCTAGTATCACTATCAACCATAAGAAATAATCCTATAGATATAAAAAAGAAATGTTCAAAGATGTTCATTTTGTTTTTTTATAATAAAAAACAAAATGGGTTATGATTGTAGAAAATTGCTCATGTATATAAATACCATGGAATATTATACAACAGTTTAAGAGTATGAAGGAGAACAATATTGTTAACATCAATCTTCAAGATGTACTGTTGAGTTAAAACAAATGCAAGTATAAAAAATTATTTATATAGATGCTAATATATTTTAGCATGCTATTTGTGAAACATAAATACACAACACTAGTAGCATATAAATATGCTTCTTATAAAAAATATTATATAAAATATTTCATGTGTTTATATATGTATATATATTTAAATACATAGATCAAAGTCTGAAAGATGAGAATCAAAAGAAAAATCTTTTTCTGTAATGTATATATTTTACAAGAAGAATATGTTAATGTATTACAAGAAGAGTATGTTAAAGTATTATTATATAGTTAATTGGTACTTTTTAGAAATCCTTAAAAAGGAAAACACCAGCACTAAGTTTAAAGAATTAGTAAAATATGGTCAGCCCTGCAGACTTAAGATACCTGTAAGACTAAACAGAATACAGTATAGGGCTCAAAGACAAGTATGTAACAAATTCAGTGTAGATCAAAGTAGTATTCACAGCCCACTAATGGATCATGAAAGTACTTTAAGTGGTCACAGAGTGACATAAATGTGATTATAATCCACACATTTTAATTTTTACATATAATTTAGGGCTACATACTACTACTCTAGTAAGTCAATTAACAATTTATAAAATTCAATATCCATTAATTAAATTAGTGAAATGCTAGTATTCACTAAGTGTTCAAATTCAGTATTCCATCAATAAGTCTGAACACCTGATACAATAGCTTGGTAACTTTGCGAAACTCTTACTGTGCACATGAATACCCAGATAGGTGGAATTCCTGTAATTTCCCAAAGGGATATTGTTTTGATCAAGGCACCATTCATAGTGTCTTGAACTGGTTGTAATTTTTCACCTATGCTATACTTACAATAATGAATATATTTGTAGAATTACTATTGTTTTACTTCATTAATTATTGTGTTCTTGTGTAATTGTTTTATTTCTATTGTTGTTATTATTATTATATATTGTTTTCTTCTATTTCTTTATTACCATTAGTACTTTTCTATGACAAAATGTCAGGGCAGATGGACCTCTGGAATCTTTTGATTCACTTAAATGGGCCATGTTGAAAAAAGTTTGAGATTTACTGAACTAGACAATACAATTTTTTTGATCAACATTATCTGCAGTAGTCAGGATGTAAGTACTGACTTTCATTACATTTACCATGGAACATTTTTAAAAGGAAAATTATTTATGAAACAGAAAAAATAGGAAATAATAGCACTGGTATTTTCATACTGTAATTCCATTTCTTTTTTTTTTCTGTGCAGTTGTACAAGTATAGTCTTCAATATTTATTATTATAATATTGGGGTAGAACATGATAAGGTGGAAAAGAAAGCCTATGTAATTCCCTTATATAAAAATGGAAACTTTCTTTATGTACAGTAAAGAAAAAGTTGAAAATGTAGGTGACTAATAATCCAAAACATAAATGTTCTCAATATAAAAGAAAATGACACTGCCTATGACAATAGCAGAAAGTACAGTTTTGTCAAACAATGAGTCAAATATGAAAATCACTAGTGGATTATCTTAAAAATAGTAGTCACATTTTAGCATTCAAGAAGTGTTTATTTATGAGGAATAAATCTATTAATCCCACAAAAGAACTCCAAAACTTAACACTCCCCAACAAGAAAGCTGTAGGGAAAAGAACAAAGTACAAATAAATCATAAAAATGTTTACAATAAAAATATGAAAATATGTTTTTAAAGTAAAATAAAAATTGATACAACTAATTATTCATTCTGATCCTCTCTTCCTCTTAAAATTGAAGAAATCATAGTAAAAATCTTCCATTCATTCAACAACCATTCGGACACTATTTCCTGAGGTAATAAAGAGGAATGTCATACAGCTCTGGCACTCAGGAAGCTCACATTCTATCAGCCAGGATTAGGGGAGGAGAAGGGTATGTAAAGGCAGATAATACTAATTCAAGAATGCAATTGTAATAGCAGAAATGTATATGAAATATTATGGGACTATAGCAAAGGGGTAATAAACACCTGCAAACAGGGTGAGAAGCCAACAGAGGTAACAACTAAGTGAAGCTTTAAAAGATAAGTTGAGAGTGACCAGGTAAGATGGAATACTGGTGGGGAGAAAGCCAAGAGGATGCTACATAAAAACTAGAGTCAAGAATAACCACGGTTTGAGAAGACGGAGCATTGAAGTACAACAAAAAGAAAAAAAATACATTTTTTACCTTCAGAATTCAATATTGATATCTACATAGCATAAATTATGTATATATGTATTAAAAATATGTTATATCTAGTTTTTAAAAGATAGGATAACTATATCTATCTACCTATTTATCTAGCATTTCAACAAGTGTTTGATTAGTCTATACGTTCATTTGTTCTTCAAAATTTGAATTTCTAAGCACTGTGCTAAAGTCTGGGGATACAATACTGAATAAAGTGGTTCCCAATGACAGGGGCTTACATATTAGCAATGGAAAGCGTTGTTAAATTAACTGCACAATTACGTAATTTCAATTTTGTTGCATGCAATATGGAATCCCAGTTTAAGGGCATTTGAACCTGGCGTATGAAGTTGGGGAGTAATTCGGAAATGCTTCTTTGAGGAAGAATGTTTAATCTAAGACGGAATGGAAAGGAAGGAATTAGGTTGGGATGAAGGTGGCGCCTCCAGGCAGAGAGCATAGCTCTCCAGAGGAAGGGGTATGGAGTCTCCGGGACAGTGCACAAAGGGCATAGTCACTGGACTTCGGGCAGCTGGAGAGGTGAGTGAGGAGCAGATGAAGTGGTCCCCCTTTGGAAGTCATGATGAAGATTTTGGGAATTGTGCTAAAAGCAAGGGAAGGCCTAATGTGTCTAAAAAGGAGTGGTCTGATCAGGATAGTATTTGAAATGAACTCAGGATTCCAGGGCTCATGAGTGAATAAAAGGAGCCCTGCTGTGAGGCTAGAGCAACAGCTGCTGTAGACTGGGGTGGTAGCAGCGAAGAAAAGTGAAAAGTGGCCTGATTTGTGAGGGATTCAGATGTACACAGACAGGCCTACTGTATGATTGGGTGGACGTGAGAGGGGAAGGAAAGAGAGGCACCAATAGCCATCCTCAGGTTTCTTGTTTACACAACTCAGTGCTGGTACCATTAACAGGATTCTTTCATAGCCACTGTGACCCCAACGTTAATGGCTCAGTTCAAAGGTTGCCTTTCCAGACCAGGTCTTCA